CGTATGGCCATAAATCGTCCCCGGATAATGCCTAGGTGAATTTCGAGAAATTTTGGAAAAAGAGGGGCAGGTGGTGGTGGTGGGTCCCGTAGCGAAGGGTCAGTCCCTGGAGACGCGATTCCGCGAGAATCCATTAGAACACGTAGGAGCTTGGGATTGTAGGGAAGCCTAAGCGTACGCCTAATCTAACCCTAAGCCTAAGCCAAGCCCAGCATAAGCCTAAGCCCAATCAGCCCAAGCCCAAGCCTAAGCCTAAGCCTAAGCCTAAGCCTAAGCCTAAGCCTAAGCCTAAGCCTAAAAAGCTTGGTCGGCCTGTACACGCCGTATTCCATTACGCACGCAAAATGCAAAAAACACGCTGGTCCCTTAGAAAGCCATAGAAATATGATACCCACATGCCTTGCTCGTCCCTTTAAAAGCTAAGGCAAGCTAGCAAAGATTGTTTGCTTTCATTCATCGCCGACCCAAAATCAAGCAGGCAAGCTAGCAGAGATTTTTTAAGAATTCCACGGCACTAGGAAATCTCCCCTGGCAGCCCTAGCCGCCTTATTTCCTAAAAAGCACTCGTTCACCCCGCCACCACCGGCCCATAAAATGGCGCCGCGGATTGGCTGACGGGCAGCATTTAACTAGGGGGCTGCTGCCGTTCTTGGCCTTGAAATATGAGCGTTGAGGAGAGGTAGGAGAAGTTCAGGGCCCCGGGGGAGGCTAGCAGAGAGCGTTTTCGAGGTCGAGTTGAAATTGGGACAGCTAAAATATTGACAACGAAAATCTCGATAGTTAAAATCCCGACAGCCAAAATCCCTATGAATTTTGGATGCTAATTGGGAGACCACTTTCTTTTAACTTGCGATTTTCTATGTCGAAATTTTCGTTGTCGGTATTTTCGAGTTTTCAAATACCGTAGCACTTGAAAAATATTTCGACAAATGGGCGAATGGTTTTCGAAAATTCGAAAGGGCTTTCGATTGTCGAAAATCTGAAATTCCGTTCGAAAAACCGATTTTTGGGCGCTACGTTTTTCGAAAATTCGCGAAGAAATACTGGATCCCGAGCCTGGAGAATTGGATTCAAATGCGAAACGAGCACCAGAGTGAGCAAGAGAGAGACAGACAGACACACGGATAGACAGTCAAACTGTCACCCAAACAAACAGACAGCCGGCGCGCCGAAGCCAGAATGGGACGCGGGGCGCAGATGGTGCCCGGCTGGCCATCTACCCCCCAGGGGTTACTGTAGCCGGTGGCCGGGTGGGGCGCAAAAAGTGGCCCTTGCCTTCGTGAATGGATGGTCTCGATGCCGGAGGGCCCAAGGCCGCGCGTAGGGCGCTATGCAGTTTTTAGAGATTTTTTTGGGGGTCCAGACGCCCCCGAGGGCGGGGTGTAATTGGTTTCTTGGCGTACAACGCGTCGGCTACGTGCGTTTCTTGAGGTTTAAAGGGCCGTGCAAGTCATATCGTGCAGGCGGATTTTGATGCTGTAATGGATTACGAGGGCCTATACGCCGCCGCAACGCCAGGCGCGTCGCGTGTCGCCGTTTTAGGAAGATTCATGTGGAAACGTGGACAGCTTTTTCTTTGATTTAGAATACAATTTGTCACAAGCGTATGATGGCTAATTCAGGAGATTAGTACCGTATTTTCGCGTAATACATCCTTTTAAAGGAACCTAGAAGGCCGGGAATGCCGCGACACGCAACGCGCGCGGCGGGCTGTAATCGATTACGCGACGGAAAGGTGCCTCGCTGGTGGGTAAAAACAAGTTCTAAATCTTGCTTTGCGTATTTTTAAAAGAACGCAGAGCGGGCGCATCGCGTGTCGCGGTCGCGGCAAAATCCATCAGCCCATTCGTTGTAAGTTTTGAAGCCATACTTAAGTCTTGTCCGTCCCTTTAAAAACGCCCCAAAGCCTCGAAAGCCATGCAGAATTTGCCTACTTGTATATCGAGGCTGACTTGTTCTCCCACCCAGCGGCCGGCTGGCCTCAATCGTTCTGTTTGAAGGCCATTTCGATGGGTGGGGGGAGGCTGAGATGGAACGGGCAGATTGGCAGTAGCCACCACCTTTCTGCCATTTCACCCACACAACAACGATCTCTCTCTCTCTCTTTCTCTCTCTCTCACCCAGGCGCAGAACCAAATTTCGAAGCCCCAAAATGACCTCGAAGGGGGAACGCCCGCGGGGTCACGGCTTTAGGCTCGCCCAGGTCTCCGCCAGGTAAACAAGGGTACGGTAATGGGGATGATTGATAAGGAAAGAGCACGGATGCGTTACGATACGAGAAGTGTCAATACTACCTGAAGAGCTGACTTCCTCAAGAAATCAAGCTAAGTACTTTGCGTGCGCAAACTCTAGAAGCAGGTCCACGCGAAGCATCTCAGATTGCCTAAGCCTAAGCCGATTGTAAGGCAAGCTAGCAGAGGCCATTTGAGGGTGCTAATCCTTAATGCTTTGAACAGAGACCAAAAAAGGTACTGTGAAAAAATAGAGTTTCACTTCCTCTTAAGCCTAAGAGCAAGCTGAAGCCTAAGTCAAGCCTAAGCCAGAGCTAGGCTAAAACAAAGCTAAAGCTCAGCTGGGCCTAAGCCAGAGCCGAAACCAAGCCTAAGCCGATGCCCAAGCCTGAGCATAAGCCTCACATTTTCTGTATTCTGACCCTATAATAAAGCACAAAACCTAATAAAATCCCATTTTTCAGGCCAATATCAAGTCCGGAACCGGCTACAAACTACAAAATGCGCCCGGATTTCGACATAACGCAACCCCCAAAACGAAAAATACTCACCGGGAAACAGTAAATATAGCAGTAAGATCCGTCTAGTTACAAGTGTAATAAGTAGTAATACCGAATTGGTGCCAGAGGCGCTACCGTAACCCGGGGTACCCTTGGGGGTGGTTGGTGGCTGGATGGAATGGTGCCCCGGGGGGCTATGGGCAAAAAGGGGCGGGGCCAGGCTCTAGATTGGCCCGTCCCACAGAGCATCGATTCACTTTGGACGAAGCCAGAGATCGGGGCTCTTTGAAATCTGGGTGCCAAGCAGTTCGGAAAATTCTAGAAGAGAGTTCTGGAACTGTTCCTGGAGAATCGCTGCTAGTCTGCCCTTAAAAGTCGAGGGAAAGAGGGAGAGCGAGAGAGCGAGCGAGATAGGGAGAGAGAGACAATTAGAGAGTGTGAGAGAATTAGAGTGTGAGAGAGCGATAGAGTGAAAGTGAGAAAGAGCGAGAGCGCCAAAGAAAGCGATAGAGCGTGAGAGAGTGAGAGAAAGCGAGAGTTAGAGCATGAGAAAGAAGGTGAGAGAGCGAGAGAGTAAGAAAGAGCGAGAACGAAAGTTAGAGGGTGATAGAGTGAATGAGAAGAGTGAGAACAAGATGGAGAGAGTCAGAGAAAGCGAGAGAGCGAAAGCGAGGGAGCAAGAGATCGAGGGAGCAAGTGAGCGAGAGAGAGAAAAAGAGAGATAGAGAGAGACGTATACGAAAACCTGGCTCAGAGGCTTCCGCAAGAATCGCTGCTGGCCTGCCTTGACACGAAGAGGGTGAAACAGAGACCGCTTCAGCTAGGGCTAGGCTTAAGCTTAGGCTTGGACTTAGCTTTCTTATGCTTACTTAGCATCCTCTTAAGCGTAGCTTCTAATACTGCTCCAACCAGCTTTGCATAAGCCTAGGGCCTTGTCTGAACACGCACGCGAAGTAGCGAAGTACGCGAACTTTTTCCGGGTGGGCTTGTTCGCGCCAATTCCTCGGCGTTTCCCATGGACCCCTAGCCAGCCCCAGCCGGTCCACCCGGTCCGTTTGAATACGAAAAGGGAGACGCGTTCGCTTGGGGGCTGGAAAAAGAGCGCCTGAAAAAGTGACCTTCCACCCCCCACCACAAAACAGCCATATGGGATTGGGTGGGGGGGGGGAGGATCGGTGGCCTGCGAATCGAAAGAATTTAAAGGTCCCTAGACGGCTGAAAAATGGTGCAAGCAGCTTAGGCTTAGGCTTAGGCTTAGGCTTAGGCTTAGGCTTAGGCTTAGGCTTAGGCTTAGGCATAGGCTTAGGCTTAGGCTTAGGCTTAGGCTTCGACTCTGTCACCAATTCTCTGTAAGTACGCTTCCCTATATAATTCTGAAACGATTTATTCGCTTCTAAAAGTGCAGAAAGACATTCGGCAGCAACAAAAATACCCAAAAACAATCCAAAAAATCAGTTAATTTGCAACGAATTGTTCTGGGAAAAGACAGAGCTCTTGTTGGCGGTACGTGAAATTTGGTTCGTACTCTCCTGATACGTCAAATTCGGCCGATGCGTCGATTGGCGAAGCGGATTCGGGGTGGCCTGCGTTTCGCCTAAAAGATCGATTCCAAAAAGATATGAGAAATATGAAATTAAAGCAAATCGATTTTTTGATTGAATTTAATTAATTTTAAAGTATTTTTCAAAAAATTATCGTGAATTTTTGCGAAAAAAATTCTAACCCGACGACCCCCAGACAAGCGTCTGCAGGCTGGTAGATGAGGTCCCGTTCGTCAGGGTCGACTGCTGGAATGAGAATGGGGCATCGTTGTCCTGTGACGAAATTCGGAGCACGTTCGAGTATTCGGTATTCTGCGTGCTTGTCGACATTGGCTGATCGTATTGGGGAACCGAGAACACGGAGGAGGACTGCATATTACAGGCCGACTGCCAGTCCTGAAAAATTGGCTTTTCAAAGTTAAACAAATAGTTTTCTATCGATTAGTAACAATCAAAAAAAAAGTTACTCACCTGTACGGCGTACCGCTGGGCCAGCGACTTCAACGAGGTCAAGGGAACAAAACCGTCAGCCCCGACGCCGGATGGACCGTTTGCGGAAAGTGTCGCCTGATATTTTATTGGTAGTTTATGGTTTTAAAATGAATAAAATGAAGTTTACGGATTTTTCGTATCTCCCCTTTCAATTAATGAAGCTAAAGTTTAAGCCAAAACCTAAGCCAAAGCTTCAGTCTAAGCCTAACTAAGCACAAGCGTAATTGATGAAGTCAAAATATTGGCTGAATACGGTAGGTAACCTAATCGGTCCAACCCCAACCTGCTTGAAGACGTGGCCGTCGATGAGCAGCGGTTGATGGGTGAGAATTCGGACCGAGGCCGGCTGAGCGCGAAGTTCGAGCATGAAGCCGGAAGCTGCTTCTAGCGATGCCTTAAAAATGATTTACAAGCGTTTTTATTCTGAAAACCCACTTGCTGAATGCCCAGCAACCGCATGGTGGACATGACCGGGGCTGTTTCCTAAATGTTGACCTTAATAGCCTGATGTCACGACTTTTTTTACTTTGATTTTGGATTTTAGATCCTTTTCGCATTTTTTAGATTTCAAGTTTAGAATTTTTTCGTAAAAATTGCAAAAACGAACAGCAGCATAAAGGACAATCTTCGGGGCGCTGGAATCGGCCACTGAATCGAGCAGCCCAACGATATGCTCCAGCCAAACACCTAAAAGCTGGGTTTTTGCCCGCTAAAAAACTGGGTTCTTTCGCATTATCGGGGGGGGGGGGTTTCAGAGGGAAAACTTTTTTAGTAGCAAGTTATCTAATAAACTTACTAGAGAAAGTTTTTCTACACTTTAAGCCCAAAAACCCAACAAATCGCAAAAATTGCGATCTGCAACCAAAATTTCGCATTAAAAATAGCTACATTTCATAAAACATCAGCAAAAACTTACGATAACGCCATAAAAACATTTCTTATATAAAAAAATTCAGTGGCCGATCTCTGAAAATCCCTCCCCCCCCGATAGTGCAAAAGCACCAAAAACCGACCTGCCATCAGTCGACGGCAAGGATCGTAGTCCGCACAGGTCTTTGCTTGATAGTCGGCTGAAATAGCTGATCAAAAAAAAAAACCGAAAAGTCGCAACTTACAATAGGTAAGAATTTTTGCAATCAACGTCTCTTTCGTGTCGCCGGCCAGGGAACAGTTGTTGATCCAGTCGGGGTACGAGGAGCGGGCGAGGTTCTGTATTAATATTTTTTGAAGCTGAAAATAAACTGAAAATTGTTTACTGAAAAATAGGTGCTCAGTCTTAGGTTTGGGCTTAGGCTTCGGCTTAGGCTTAGGCTTAAGGTTTAGGTTTAGGCTTAGGTTGGGCTTGGGTTTAGGTTTAGGCTTAGGTTGGGCTTAAGTTTAGGTTTAGGTTTAGGCTTAGGCTTCGGCTTCAGCTTCGGCCTAAGCTTGGGCTTATGCTCAGGCTCAGACTTAGGTTTAAGCTTGCCTTATGCTGGGGCTCAGGCTTAGGCTTATTGTGGCCAATACTCACAATCAGCTTCAAGTTGTCGGCCAATACGGTCAAGGAGTGTAGAGAGCAGTTCCACCCGGTGTTCTGATGAACGTACTGAGCGAGGGCCTGATCTTTTTGGAATTGGGCGGCCATGGTAGGCAGGGTTTCGTCGCGGATTGGGCCGTATGCTGAATTTTGGCCATCGTAGGTACTTTGGCATTATCGGGGGGGGTCTTAATCCAGATATGGCTAGTAAATTAGCAGCATTTAATAAATGTCCTTTTGAAAAAAATACCCTGCTCGTACGCGGCACACCCCTGAACGGCCTCGATTTGCAGCATTTGGTCGTTGACGGAAGCTTGCGGCGTTGTCCCGTTGTTGTACAGCGTTTCCAAGACTTTCTAAAGTAAAAATTTCTGCGATATTCCCTTTAGGAAAACCTGCATGGTGTCCTGAACAGCTTGGGAAGACCCTGATAGGGCCTCGGCTTGCGTCGAGTCTTTGGCGAGTTTCTGGGCAAAAGCTCGCACAGCCATTCCAAGGCCCACGCTTTGACGGCGCCCAAACTAAACAGATGTCTCGCTTCAAATTAAAGTTCATAGCTGCATTTAACTTTTTGAAACCAATAATCGAGCTACAAATCTCAAACGGCAATCGGTTATTCCTAATAATGTAATCTAACGTATTTTACTAGTCTTTTTGCTAAATTTTAACTTGATTCTAGGTGCAAAAAGTTTTATAAACCTTAGAAAAATGTTTCAAAATTTCCGATTTTGGTCGGAAATTTCGCTTATTTATTAAACTCTATAACACTTTATAAAGGGGTCACTCTTGAGACCAGCAAAAAGAAGCTTATACTCGATTTCTATTAGGCAGTGCCAAGGCATAAGGTGGAAAAGCCCCCCCCCGGTTAATGCAACAGATGCCGAGGTACCGTACTCCTCGTGCTTGTATGTTGCGCTATTTCCATTTATCGCTACACAATATATTTGACTCGTTACTATCCCCTGGAACGTGACAGTAAAGAGCCGTCTCTAACTTACCTGGCTCAACGCGCCGGGACCCTCGTTGCCATAGGCGGCACCCGGAAAATCGAGCATTTGTTCGGGGATCCTCGTGCCGCTCGTTGTGCCAATTATTACTAGACAGAAAATTTGGTTTTTAAACTGAAAAATACTTACACATCGTAGTATTGGCATTCTTCTGAATCAACGGTCCAGTGAAACCGCCGTCCGACGACAAAACAACCGAGCTGTTTATGGCAGCAGCTTGGCAAAAATTTAGGCAATAAACTAGAATTAACACTACACCAAGCATTTTGACAAAGTGCCTGGATTTAGTTGAAGATAGCGACTAGCCAGGTGCCATCCCCAGAAGATCTCTGCCCCCTGTATCCGGGGGATCCAGGGGCAAATAGATTGCCCTCCCCCTCCCCCTTGGCCATCAGTTCGCGCTACTTTGAGGGCCCGCTTTTCGCCCTTTTCGCTCTATCTTTTTCTTCTTCTTGCTTCTCCTTCATTTTTCCTCTTCTTCTGCCGGTCAAGAGATGTTCACGACTTCCAGGAGAACCTTGAGAAGTGCCAAAATGTAGACGGCACAAAATGGCAGGTGTTAAAAGGGCTGGAAGCTAGGTGCTTTGGCATTATCGGGGGGGGGGAGTCGGATTTTGCATACCCCACTCCAATAATAATTATTTTAAGAGCATTTTTACAACAATTTCACCATATTTTAAACGGGGAAATGTATAAAAAATTCAAAATATGATGGAAATTCAAAATTTTGATCGCAAATTTCGATTTTTTTGTATTTTTTAACCGATCTTCTTTTCTGGCATACGTTTAAAAATGCTTTTTTTGTACACCGCTAGAATAACAGTATTTCAATAGTGATAACTTGGGAAAATTAACGATTTTTAGGCAGCAAAAACACCGAAAAATTCGAAGTTCGAAATTTTGAATGAAAAATCTATTCTCGCGTATTTTTACTAAAATTTATACATATTTTACGCTTAGGAAGAATAAAAAATGTCTGAAAGGTCTCGATCTATTTTACAAAAATTTGACCCTAATGAAAACGCCCCCCCCCGATAATGCATAAGTTCCCAGGAATCACGAGTGATAATTTAGAAAAACGCTTTGCATCCAGGATAGGCAAATCAATTTTATCCACTTTGAATTTTTATGGCTATTTTAGCAATCTTGCTATTATTCTTCATTCGTATGTCAAAACCGGCGAGCCCTGCTCCGTCGTCCAAAGACACCGCCCCGACTCCCGCGCCGGGCGCTAACAGGAAAAGCGAGTTTTTAACAACCCTGTTTTTTGCAGGTTTCTACAAGTTCAGAAATTCCGAGTAATAGTCGTAATTTTCATAGTATTTTTAGTAAAATGTAACAATTTATCGGTAAACACTATCTAAAGCTTTAGAAGACGGTGAGAAATTCAAAATTCGGTTGAAAATCCGCAATTTTTGCGAAAAATCGGACTGACTGACATGACTCTTAACATTTTTACAGAGCTGGTGCGTCCCACGCTTATCGTGAATGGGGCTGGATCGGCGAACGTAAAATCAGCCGCCCGCAGCTTTGCGGTGTCAGTCCGCAGCAGTGAGTTTGGCCGGCTAAACTGCGGATCCACCACCCGGCCGCTCCTCGCTTACAGTATCTTGGCTCCCTGCTGTCCTATGGCCCTGTAAAGTATACCAAAATATTCACCAGAGCAAGACAAACATTTTGGTATACTTTACACTGCTGTAGACCAACAGGCAACCGAGATACAACGGCTTGAAGTCGGGGCCGGGGGATCTGCAGTGCTGTGCAGCCTCCAACCTTTGTATTGCGGCTCCCTGTTCGTCTACAGGTGTGTAAAGTATACCAAAATGTTCGCCTTGCTTTTGCGAGTATGTTTAGTACGATTTTCACACCTGGAAACCAACAGGCAGTCGAGATAAAAAGGTTTGAGGTCGACTGGGAGGAGGTATTTGCAGTGTCACTTCAAATCGAGCCCCACCCTCACTTTAGAATTTTATGAGGCACGCGTCGGTTGGGATGAGGTGACGCGCTACGTGCCGAAGAACCCGGCGCAGACCGCCTTCGACGCGAACCCGGCGAAGAATCGGTGGCCGGACATCCCGTGTCTCGACGCGACGCGTGTCAAGTTGACGCCCGAGACGAAGGATGAGGGCGATTATATTCATGCGAACTGGTGTGAGGTATTTTGCCTTTTATACTAGTTTTACCGGTCCTTTTCCATTATCGGGGGGGGGGGAAACTCAACCCCACCCAGGTTTTCATACCCTATTTTTCTAGCTCCCGGACGGCCCGACGATCATTGCCACACAGGCGCCGCTCGAGAACACGATGGGCGACTTTTGGCGTATGTGCTGGGAGCACGAGGTCGTCAACATTGTGCAGATTTGCAAGCCCGGTGAGGGGCAACCAATCAAGGTGTTCTGGCTTCTTCTTTTACCGATAAACTCCCCCGTTAATGCCAAAGATTCTCTTATTAGTGCGCCGCCTACTGGCCGGAGAACCCGGATGAACTTCTCAAAATCGGCCGCTGGCGGGTCGAGAACAAAAAGACGGAGATGAACTGCGGCTTCAACACGCTGACGATCGAACTGCGACCAGAGGCGTCGAAGAAGACCCGAACTGTTCGGTCAGCGGTGCTATTGCATTATCGGGGAGGGGGGATCGAGGAAAACCTTTTTTGTGGAAGTTCAGAAATGTCTAGTGAGGTATTAGTAAGCATAGTGGTTTTAGTAAAATTTAACGTTATTTTAAGTGGAAAAACTATCGAAAACGCTGAATTTTACCCCCCCCCGATAAAGCGACAGAACTCGGTCCGCTAAACTACGAGCGAAACCGGGCATTTTTTGCAGGATTGTCCAGTATCCGGATTGGCCGGAAAAAGCCGTGCCCAGCAGCTACCAGGAGATCCTCCGGTTGCTGCGCGTCATCGGCGACCCGGACGTGCTGAACCCGGGGCTGACTGTGATGCATTGCCTGGCTGGCATCGGCCGCACCGGCACCATGATTCTCACCCTGTGGACCCTCAACCGGCTGTACGCCGGCGAGAAGGTGCAGGTACTGTTCTATTTCCGGGGAGGCGGCTATTTTCTAGGCCTTTTACCTTCCAAATCGGGTGCTTTTGCATTATCGCGGAGGGGGCTTTTTCTAAAAATTATTCTTAACCGTCAAAACTTAGAACTTTTAGTTAAACATAAAAAATATCGACTTTTCGACCAAAAATAACAATTTTTCGACGAAAATTACAACATTTTTGAATCGTTTTCGACTTCAAATATAGCCGTTTTTTACTAAAAACACCATTTAAGCATTTATTTTTATGGTACAAGGCATTTCTGGATCATACTAGGCACACCCCCCCGATAATGCAAAAGTACCAAACAGTTATAGCGAAATCCAACCTCACCCCCCCCCCCGAAACAGAACAGTACCAACATGCAGATGTTCGATCTACTGCGCCAACTGCGTGATCAGCGGGCCATGGCCGTGCAAAACGAGCGCCAGCTCATGCTCGTCTACCTGTGCTGTCTGGAGTATATCACGGTAGGGAGCGCTTCCAAAATCGCGTGGCAGAGGCTAATTCTGGGGACTTTTGCGTTATCGGGGGCGGGATTTTCATACAATCCGGTTTTTTAATAAAACTAGAGAGGTGTTTCTAGGCTTTTTTACTCTTTTTAAACGCAAAAGCCATGCAATTTTCTTAAGAAAATACAAAATATCGATTTTTCGACGACAATTGGCCGATTTACGATCAAATTTTGAATTTTTCAACGTTTTTGGTTTTTTTAGATAGGTTGTCGCCTGAATATTGTTAAATTCTACTAAATGACGGTTAAGATTATGACTATTAGCTTATTAGGTATTTTTAGATTTGTATAAAATTAATTTTTTTCTTGCAGCCCCCCCGATAATGCCAAAGCATCATAAATGATTCCATTCAGAGAAAGGGCTCCGTTGATGAGCACGAGACTCGGGACGGCATGGACAAGGTGCGAGCCGTGTGCACCAGGGCCATCTGACCGCCAGCCCGTCAACCACCGCCGGCCGACCTTCAAAATTAAAAAATTAAACTCGGACCTTTATCGCAAAATCGCAACGTCATTTGTCGTTTAACGTACCCAATAAATTATATCAATTTATGTGCTGCTAATTGCGTCTCATTTATTATTATTTTTCTTCGAAAGTTATCAAACTCGGTGCTTCTCCATTAGCGTGTTTTTGCAAAAAATTTTTGCAGGTACTATTAACTGTTTTAATCCGGTTTTTTGGAAAAATAAAGTAACTTTTACGTTGAAACTATCCAGAAATTTGTAAAAATTCTTAATTTTGTTCTAAAACGACGATTTGTGTTCGAAAAAGCGATATTTTGGCTTTTTTTTACTAAATTTATGTAATTTTTTGCGCTTAGAAATGATAAAAACAGGTTAGAAACAGTTGCCGCTATTACAAAAAATGGGTGCTTAGAAAAAGGTGCCCCCACCTCCGATAATGCGAAAGTACACCTAGATTTTAAATGACAGTATAATTTACATAAATATATATTTGCCTCACCGGAATATCCTGCGATTAACGTCCCAATTTTCTGGTATAAAACCGGCGAAGATAGGAGCCACAAAAAACGTCGTCGCGTTCGACTTCTCGCCAGCGCTCACGCCGCTTTCGCCCTCCACGTGCGTCAGATGGGCGGAAAGTCAGTGGCTGCTTATTTATGCTTTTTCATTAATTAAATTTAATGCATTTTAAATTCATTTAAAATCTAATTCATTATTAATTAAATTTAATTCATTATTCAAATTAAATTAATTTTATACCGTTTTTACATATAAAAATTACAATAAAATAACTAGAAAAAGATTTTTCGCTTTTAAACGGGTTTATGACTTATTTTTAGTGTTTTAGCAATAAAAACTACTAACAGGCATAAAAAAATACACGCTATCTCATAGGATTAACAGCTAATTAACAATAAGAGGAAATGTAAAAAATGGCTTCTATTGCCCCCCCCGCTAACAGAACAGTACCTTCTCAGGTGGGCTACATTTATGGTTGCAGAAAAGGCAGCGGCGGCGACACGCGGCTGCACAACTCCAGCAAAAAGTCGAGGACCCAGGGATCCCGTGAGGGCAGGCTGAGCAAGGATCAACAGGCCGCCGCCGCCGATTTCATGGGAAAGACGCTGTCCAAAGGCATCAAGGTGTGTTTCGTTTTCGAATTTCGTCCGTCTCCCCCCCGCTAAAAGTCCAGCACCGTTTTTGCGACCCCATCCAATTTTTTTCAGGCGCTCGCCGCCGAATTCCAACGAAACCCGCGCCGCTACGACATGGCCAAGTGCACCGTGTTCAGCCGCAACCAGAAGCTGAACCGATACAAGGTAACAACAGATACCCTACAGTATCTCGTCTCCCTGCTGACCTATGGCCCTGTAGAGTATACCAAAATACTCGCCAGAGCAAGACGAACGTTTTGGTATACTTTACACACCGGTAGACAAACAATGAGCCGAGATACCTGTGTTGGTAGCCGGCCGGGGGTATCAGCGGACGGAAAAACGTCTAACTCCTTCAGGATGTCGGCTGCCACGATCACAACCGTGTACGCGTGCCCGGGGCCAACGCCGACGAGTACATCCACGCCAACTACGTGGGCACCCTGAAGAGCCCGAAGCGCTTCATCTGCGCCCAGGGGCCGATGTCGACCACTTGCGCCGACTTTTGGATGATGGTCATCCAGCACAAGGTCGAGGTATGCGCCAGTTGGTACCTTGGCATTATCGGACTACTGAATTTATATAGCCTTTTCGTCGTTTTTGATTGTTGGGAAATCATACAATTTTAGAAAATTTTTAAGGTACTTGAAATGCAATAAAAAAAAAAAAAAAAAAAAAAAAAAAAAAATAAAAAAAAAAAAAAAAAAAAAAAAAAAAAAAAAAAAAAAAAAAAAAAAAAAAAAAAAAAAAAAAAAAAAAAAAAAAAAAAAAAAAAAAAAAAAAAAAAAAAAAAAAAAAAAAAAAAAAAAAAAAAAAAAAAAAAAAAAAAAAAAAAAAAAAAAAAAAAAAAAAAAAAAAAAAAAAAAAAAAAAAAAAAAAAAAAAAAAAAAAAAAAAAAAAAAAAAAAAAAAAAAAAAAAAAAAAAAAAAAAAAAAAAAAAAAAATGCTCTATAATGTACTAAAGTGGCGTACAAGATACCTCCCCCTCCCCCCGCTACCCGTCCAGTACCACGCAACTCCCACCCCTAATTCAACGAGCTTCAGTCGATCCTCATGTTGTGCGAGTTGGTCGAGCAGAACAAGCCCAAGTGCACCAAGTACTGCCCGGATGAGGCCGGCCAGGAGATGACCTTCCAAACCGCCGACCAGGGCCCAATCACCGTGCGCTGCGAGCAGGACGCCGATGTGGGCCACGTCGACTTCTAGTCGTTCACCGCCCCCCCAATTTCAGTTCAAGTTCCGCAAGGAGACGAAGGCGAAGATTCGCGTGCGCACGCTCAAGGTCAACGGCCTCGGGCTCGAGGAGCCACTCACCGTCCGGCATTACCATGTAAGATTTTTCTAGTGTAAGAGAGAGAGAGACATCGAGACTGTGAGTGAGAGAAATTCCAATTTTTCAGTGGAACCATTGGCCGGATCGTGGCGCCCCTCCGCCCGACCATTCCCCGATGGAACTGCTCGCCAAAGTCAGCCAAAGCTCGTCCGTTTTTTGTCATAAACTACTTTAATCCAACCCGTTCAGCACCCCAATCGTCGTCCACTGCTCGGCGGGCATCGGCCGCACCGGCTCGATCGTCATGCTGCAGGCCATCGTCGAGAAGATCAGCGCCGGCGAGAAGTTCGAGGTCGAGGACCTGCTCAAAGAGTGCCGCGAGAGCCGCGCCTCCCTCGTCCAGGTGAGCAGCAGCTGTCGTCGACTTGAAAAAGGACCCTGGCTAACCTGGCTAAATTAAAAATTCTAAAAAACCCACGTTTTTTACTAAGAATTAAACCGATTTTGGTGGTGATCCGATTGCAGACGCCGGCCCAGTACTACTACATCCACGAAGTGCTCCTCAACTACTATTATGCGCGCCTCGGCAAGTATGTGGCGAGCTTCGAGCCGTCGCTGGCCAAATACACGGTCGAGTACTACAAGGCCCTCGACGAGACCACCAACAACAAATGAGCCGACCCGAACACGGTCATCCACCCTCCTGCTGCTCATGCTCAACGAAAAAGAAAGAAATCTCTAACACTATTCACTTGTACCGTTAATTGTTGTGAGAAGAGTTTTGTGGTGTTTCGAAATAAAGTAACTCGATGTCTGCGGCGCGAGCACCGGGGAGCAAGAGCTCATCGCGAACTGAAAAGCAGTGGCTACCGGCCTCGGGAGGACTGGCGATAAATTGTGCTCGGCCAAAAACACGTTAATCCATAACTTTATTTACGACTTTTTGCGGCGGCTGCGGTGACGGCTGGCGTGACGACGGCGGCGGCGGCCTGGAAAACCGAGTGGAAAACCTTCTAAAAAGTAGAAGCCTTTGAAATTTTAACCGATCGAAAGCCCGATGTTTTTGTATTTTAGAATCAACACTCCGTTTAATTTCACCCGAAAATTTTTGAAATCGACATTTCGGTATTTCTGCCTCGGAAAACCGGTAATTTTTGCCTTTTTGTAATGAAAATTTGATTTCGAATCGAATAAAGTCGAAAAATCGATATTTTTGTATTATAATAAAAACTTGTAAAGTTGTAACGTTTAGCAAAGTCGAAAAAATAGCATTGAAACATTTTCTTCAATTTTTATCAGAAAAATTGAAGAATAGTAGCTGTTTCTCTTACCGTTACCGCCTCAAGCTTCGTGACAGCGGCAACCGTCTGGACGCGCACCGTGGAAGCGCGAGAAGCATGTGTATGGCGACCGGTTGAGTGCTTCTTCTCGTCAAGGGCCCAGGCGAGCGGGTTCATGATGTGGTTCAGCTAATAATGTGCTGTATTCCGAATGTTTTAACACCATCTATCTCTTCTGAAAGCCGACCAAAAGGTGTATCAACCGACCAAAAGGTGTATCAATCTACATAGGAAGTAAGTAGCAATTAATTACTATGAAAATTTAATGAAATTACTACACGCGTTACAACTTACCACTAATGCCTCGAGCTGCGTGTAGTTGGCCCCCTGCTCCACAGTGCCGCCGCCCTGGATGCGCTTTGCCTTCAGCGCGGCCTTCAATTCAGTTGGCAACCCCCCGATCTGGAAAATGCTCAACTACTATAAGCCCCAGTAATCGCCCACCAAATGCCCCGCCTGCATCAGTGATGCCAAGATCACATCGTGCACCATCTTCCAGGCTTTGGTCGACGTTTTGTCCTTGACCAGAGCCAGCTCCCTCAGCTGCTTCAGACGGGCGTACTCATGCAGGTGGAAGTTGTTCAAAATGGCGTTTGTCTAGGCGTAGGTCATCTTCTGGTGTGCTACAAATGCTCACCTCGTTCACCCCAATGAGCTTGACGAATTTGGCGACGGTCGGTGCCAACGGGGAATCCTAAAGCCACTTTTTCGTTGTTAGTTTTTACTCCCTACCCAATGCGGTTTCAATGTGGTCCCGGCTTTATTCCCAGTCTTTTTGGTCTGACCGACCCTCGCAGAAGCAAGGCCAACGAGTAGAAGCCCTAATAGCAGAAATCGAGCCATGCCGGATGAACAATATGAAGGCCAAGTGGACGACTGACATCGAAGAAACCGCCTATAACAACCGTCCCGCCACCTCTTTATGGTGAGAAACGCTCGGATGGGCCTGATGTCCGCAGGTTTCCGGAAACTTATGGCTACCACCAGCCGTAGCGATGTCGGAATGGATAACTTCAAGGGTCCGTGGCGCCCATTAAATTGTGAAATTCGTTCCAGACAGTGTGTTGTTCTTCCGTTCCGTTAGTCCAGGCCAAAGCACGCCAAAGAGCTGCCGCGAGACGTTATTGAAATCATTTATTGAGGCCTTATAAAGAAGCATTTGGTCATATGTGAACATTTGAAGCTGGCTAAATGGAACACAATCGAATCAAGGTCGCGCAAAATATATAAGCGAAAAAAATACGAGATCATTGGTTGTTGTAGTCGGTGCGGTTGGAAGAGGAGTGGTCATGGCTCGTCTCCTTTGATCGGTCACCGCGTCGCTCGACCCGACGGGCGCGTACGTGGCTCTTTACCCATTCGTGTTCTTTTACCTAAACAAATAATTAATTACCGGTCAAAATATGGAAAGAGAATAATGAGAAACTTATAAAAACGCACGCCTTCGAGGGTGAGCCGGTCGGTGGGCTTGAAGACGAGCAACTTTCGGATGAGGTCCCGAGCCCCCGCCGAGATGCTGGACGGGAATTTGTAGTCGACCTAAACAAAATTATTTTGGGCGACGAAAATTGGCACCAACATTTCTAATCTTCTTATACGTGAGCTGGGTCTCGTCACTTTCGAATGGGGGCGAGCCGACGAGGAACTCGTAGCAGAGCACACCCAACGACCACAAGTCCACCTAAAGCTTATTAAATAAAAATGGATAGTCAATTTACTTTGTCGGTATGTTTGTTGCCGATGATCATCTCCGGGGGCAGGTAGTCCATCGTGCCGCACATCGTCTGACGCCGCTTTCCGGGGGCGTGCACCGACCAGCCAAAGTCGGCAATCTTCAATTCTCCCTGTGCGCCGAGGAGCAGATTCTCGGGCTTGATGTCGCGATGGATGACGTTTTTTGAATGGCAGTAGATTAGGGCGTCCGCCATTTGGTGCATGTACTGAAAATCAAGGTTAAACAAACCACCGACAGAAAAACAATAAATCGCGAAAGATAAACATACCACAGCTGCGTCAGGCTCCTTGAATCGTCGCTGTGCCCGCAACGACTTGTACAGCTCGCCGCCCTCTGCGTACTCGAGCACCAGGTAGATTTTCTTCGCATCCCAGAAGTACGTGAATAGCCGGAGGACGTTCGGGTGCGTGAGGTGGGACTGGATCTCGATCTCGCGGCGGATCTGGTGCTCACAGCCGCCCTTTTCCAGCTGTGACTTGAAAAGTACCTAAAGAACGTTTTAAAATGCAAAAAGAAAAACCTTTAAAGCGACGATCAGCCCATTTTCTCGTATTCTGGCCAGATAGACGCTGCCGAACTTGCCCTTGCCCAGCGGACGACCAATGTCGAAGTCTTTGAGCTGGAAGGACCTAAAACAAAGATAGAGCAGGTAAAAACGCAACTGACCCGCCTCGTGCTGGCGTTGGGTTTGGCGTCGGGCGCCTTGGGGTGCCGAGGTAGACCAGTCCGTTGGGCAGGACGTCGCCAACTTGGCTTGCCATCACTGCTCTAAAATGGGATAAATGAGAGGCTGAAAAGGAATAAAGATAGAAAGGCAACAAACGAGGCGGACAAAAAGGAAAAAATATGAAGCGAAAAAGCTAAACGAAAACTGGTGAAGGAGAAAACCCTCGAAAAACGACGGAGACTGAACAATTTTAATTTAAAAATAAATTGTTGTGATACAGTGGGCTCCGTTACTTCCTAAATTACGTAAACCGTTACCTTTGTACCCGTAAATTGTATTGTTGCGGAAACGAATGGAAGCTGTAAAAATGTGGGTTTTTTTTCATCCAGTGCAAACAATGTTCCTTCGATCCGATTTTCCTTCCTTTCCGTCCTTTTTCCTTTAGAGAACACCTCCTTTCAAATCCCTGCGGCTGGGGGTATTTCGAGCCGTGCTTAGGGGGCCTCAGTTGCCTTGCGTGTTCGCGAATCTCGGGCCCCAGGGAGCTGATCGTGATATCGCGATGGCAAGTAAATGTCGCGCGGGTCGCGCATTGAGTGAATTTTGTAGAATACAACTTTACTTTAATTAAGCTATTATTCATAGTTACTAACAATTTAAAGTGTGGAAAGACGATCTACAGTTCAAAGTATTAAGGCCCCCAATTACTGATACTGAAGAGTACTACAATTCGTTGTTGCAGTGTAGACTTTGTTTTATTTGGAAAGCCAACTGATTATCGATATGCGGCGCTATTTCGGAATAGGGGACCCACTTTTATTATACCAAAACTGGGGTTTGTGCGATGTTTTCCTGGATAGTTTTGCGCGCTGGTTCCGAAAAAACACCTTACTAACTTTAAAACCTAACATTTTCACACAAAAAAATTTATTTTAATTTAATGGGCTGCTAGGGAACCTAGCGGCGCAGGCCCGACTTTTGGCTACAATACACTCCTAGCTCCGTTTTTGAAGCTTAAACGTATGCATAAATAATGCTAAATGCTAGTAAACCCGATCTTAGATTCATTGAGACCAAGCCTAGGCGACCCGGATATACGTTAACGTGAGTAGAGCCCACCTGTAAACTAGGCTGGCTCTTCGCCCCTGTAACGTAAAGGAAGGTCGCGATAAGCTGTTATTAAAACACGGAAGCGTCTTGGTTCCAATACTAGATTATACTTACGCAGATGTTCCAGTCAAGTCAAGCTCAAGCCAAAAATATAGTAATCCAAGTGAGTTTCCTAGCAAGTTCGCTGGCCACGTCAACACCTCCCGTCTCGTGTCCTAAAGACATCCTATAAAGATAACATATTTTTGTGCAAATGTACTTTTTTACGGGCTGGGACACCGTATTTCGGAACAAGCGCGCAAAATTGCACCAGAAAAAGTGGTTTTTAGGGTAATCAAAGTGGGTCCCCTATTCCGAAATAGCGCCCGATATGCTTTGTATCGTACCTCCTCCCTACCTCCCTGATGGCTTCAGATGCCTCGGCTGGCGGATGACTTCTTCGATTCCGGATTGGCTACCGAGCAAAAACAACAAAGACCCAATACAATATTGAACTCCAGATCGGGGTTGCCAAGCAACTTTTAGCCTGAGTTGGTGCGGTGCAACGTTTGGGCTACGAAGTCTCCAGGATTTTCAAGAGGTTGTCAGGCGTTATAAATGATGTTAGCAGGCTAGCCTGTCCGGGAGGTTGATTCGAAGTGCTGTAATTGGAGCACTCTGCTCGATGAATTGGGGTTCGGTATCGTTTGGAAATGAAGTTTCCGTTTGCCGTTCTCCCGATTCCGTCTTGCATAGGCGAGCATTCAGCGGCTGAACCCAAGAAGGAGATGACACCGCGATGTTTGCGTCTCGATACTTTGCGCTCGGCAGGGCCCTTACTAAAAATTAGGCTGGAAAATAGTCTCGTTATTGTGCTAGGTACCTGAATTAATAAACTCTGCGGATTTGCTTTTTTCTGTATTTCGTAAGAACGGTGCGTACAACAATACCACACGCGACTTTTGGAAGGTTTAGATTTTAGACTTTCTGCGCTGCTTGTCGCTTCTCAGCATTTCCGACGTAATTCAGAAACTTGGTGAACCATCAACCCCCGATCCATCCCGGTGAATTGTCTGTTCGCCCGTTCCTTGCCCCCAATTGTGTCCTTTTCTGCGGGGTCAGGGGCTCGGCTTACGCGACTGGGGGGCTCTTGTAGTTTGCACAGCGGCCATCCCCGCTCCGCGAAATAGCCAGCCACTTGCCACGCCAAATTATCCCGACTGCGCGAGCCGTTCTATCTGGGAGAAAATCGACTTCTGAGGCTGGGCTCCTTTTTTGAAAAGAGTTTTCGGGCAGAATTCGCCCCTTCTTCCTTTCCACACCCCCGGCAAGCCAAAAACCCGTTCATAGGCCTTTATTTTTTAAATAGGTTACTGTAAAAACGCAATAAGCTTCTGTGCCCCTCGAATTGAGTAACTGGAATTGATTCAACTTTTTCAGGATGCGATGGAGCCGGTATATTAGCCGACGATACACGGGAGTGCTCCAGTACATCGCCTACATTGGCGTGCTCTACTTCATCTACTGTGTCGTCTCAAATCGACGAGCTGCACCAGTGGTAACTTCAATTGGTCTTAAATAATTTTTATTTACAGCAAAACGACGAAGAGGCTGTGTTCCCGGGCGCGAATGCGGGGCTAAATGCTCGAGATATAGACGCGAGAGCTGGTAAGAACTTTTATTCTGGTAGATACCCCATCATAGAAGCCATCGAGCAGTACGAAAAGAATCAGGAGTCTGGACAAGTCAACCGCGGCGACAAGGACGATTGGGAGCAGTACAAGGGGCAGCCGAAAATTGTGGGTTTCTGGTCCTAAGACATTTTTATCTCGGTTTTATTTAGGACTGGCTTGACCGAGAACGATATGAGGCTGACAAAAGACGATCTGGACCCGGAGAACAAGGTGTGCCCGTTCAGGTGCCCAAAGACAAGGCCATTCAGGATGAAGCGGTAAGGAAACATATTTGTCTCCCCTGCATCTGGTTTTTAGTTGGCCCTGTACAAGGCGAACGGCTACAACGCGTACGTCTCGGACATGATCGCCGTCGACCGAGCCATCAAGGATATCCGTCACCCAGGATGTATGGACATGAAATATTCCTCGAAGCTGCCGACCGTCTCCGTCATTTTCCCAGTTCACGAGGAGGTATTGTTAAAACAATTGCTTTTCAATTTTTTTACAGCACAATTCTACGCTGATTCGAAGTGTTTGGACTGTAATCCATCGATCTCCACCCGGATTGGTGAAAGAAGTGATTCTGGTAGTTCTTAATTAGCCGGCCAATGACATTTGGTTTTTAGGTCGACGATTCGAGTGAGAAACCGGCCCTGGGAAAACCGTTGGAGGATTTTTGGAAGAAAGAGAAGCTCGACCATATCGTCAAAATTCTTCGGACCAAGTAAGTAAATTTGGTAGTTTTGAATGGCTCACACCTTTTTTTCAGGCAACGTGAGGGGCTTATCCGTGCACGACAACTAGGGGCAGAGATCGCGACCGGCGAGGTGCTCATTTTCCTCGACGCCCATTCGGAAGCTAACTACAACTGGCTGCCGCCGCTTCTCCATCCGATCACCGAAGACTACAAGTGAGAAACTCTTGTCCCGCTCTTCACCTATTCTTTCAGGACCGTCGTCTGCCCGTTCGTCGACGTCATTGACTGCGAGAATTACGAGATCCGACCACAAGACGAGGGCGCACGCGGGTCGTTCGATTGGGCGTTCAACTACAAGCGATTGCCGCTCACAAAGACGGATCGGCTCAGCCCAACCAAGCCGTTCGACAGCCCCATCATGGCCGGCGGCTATTTTGCCATCTCGCGCAAATGGTTCTGGGAACTCGGCGGATATGACATAGGGCTCGATATTTGGGGCGGCGAGCAGTACGAGTTGAGCTTCAAGGTTTGTTTTGCCATTTTCCCCCACCGCTCGATTTAGATCTGGCAATGTCACGGGCGCATGGTTGACGCGCCATGCTCGAGAGTCGCCCACATTTATCGGTATATTTTGCTTATGATGTAAAGGCCGTGGTTTAGGTGCAAATATCAGCCGTTTAAAAGCGCCGGCAAAGGTGATTTCATCTCGCGGAATTACAAGCGTGTTGCCGAGGTTATTTTAGAGAACTTTAAATAACCGCTTATTCAGGTGTGGATGGACGAGTACAAGGAGCTGCTCTACAAGGGACGACCGGGCGTAGGAACCGTGGACACTGGTTTGCGCTTCGTTTAGTAATAATTTAACCGTGAGTTTAGGTGATTTGACCGTTCAAAAAGCAGTTCGCGAGCGACTCCAA